TTATATGATGAAGCCATCGATAGCTTTTAAACTAGTTATCTATTCCTTGCTTGAGCTAAATAAGGTGGTTGGTAACTTTCCACTTATGTGAAAAAGTTATCAATAGCTTCCTAAATTCATGACTCAAATTCATTAGTGGTTTCCCACTTATATGAGTGGAGTCATCGATGACTTGTTACTCGTGCTAATAAAAGGCTATTCATCTTTAAAAACTTATCTTCTTACTAGTAATAGGTCGTGTTCAATAAACACTAACTAAATTCTAACATTCCCAACTTTCCCTTTAAGTAGGGGGTGTTGGCCTCTAATTGGCCTAAACCCCCTAAACTATTCTATTTTACATCCAAACCTCCCAAACTACTCGTTTTACATCCAAACCCCTAAACTACTCTATTTTTATATCTTAATAAAATAAACTCGTTTAAATAGATATAGAAGCATAATACAATGAAAAATTAGATTCCGTTTCACATGCAAATAATACGACTTACCTTAGGTAGGATGAGATGGTTATAATATTATATCTTCTCCATATGTAGCCAACTCCTTACCCGGATATCTATACATTTAGGTTTTTCTAATTCTCCTTAATTAGCTAAGTGACGACTCATTGTTAGTCCATTATCCCATTATATCTCCCTTTGCCCCTTGCGAGTCGACGTCGACAATCACCATCTAAATTACTAAGTTGCTAAAGAAGGAGAAGTTTGAATGGACACCTAAAGCTTAAGAAAGTTTTGATACATTAAAAATTGAAGTGACTTGTAGTTCTTGTTTTATCACTACTATATTTTAATGGTGCTTAAGGTTCATTACGATGCTTCTAATATGGCTATTGGAGTTGTGTTTAGCCAAGAGAGACGTAATATGGCTTACTTTAGTGAGAAGTTAAATAAAGTAAGAATGAAGTATTAAACTTACGATAAGGAGTTATATGCCATTGTTAGAGCTTTGGAACTTTGGTACTAGTATCCGTTACCCAAAAAGTTTGTTTTATTTTCATACCATAAAGCTCAAAAATACCTACATAGTCAAAGCAAGCTAAAAGGACGTCATGATACTTGGAGCTTGTTTTTATCACCATTCAATTATATTCTAAGCATAAGTATGGAGTTCTAAATAAGGTAGGCGATGGACTTATCCAAAAATATGCATTGTTTCTATTTTGTACGTATGGGTTGTAGGGTTTAAATTTCTTAAAGACTTATATAAAAATGACGAGTGATTTTGGCACCATATGAAAGCTTTGTGGTGTATCTTCTTTCAAATAATTTTATATAGATAATTATTTCTCATTCTATAAAAATCATTTTTGTGGGTGAAGATATTCATTACAAAAAGCCATATTGATTGAGTGTCATGATGGGTGCTTAGCTAGACAATAGAAGTCGAGACAAAATATTAGAATTTGTGGTTGAGGCCTTTAATGCCAAATGATGTGGATAGATACGTCGAGAGGAGTACGATTTATTACATGATGAAGGCTCAAGATCTAAAGATGGATTTTTATACTCTATTACCAATTTTAGAGTATCTATAGGTTGACAAGAGTATAGACTTTGTAGTTGTCCTTTCTAGGACTCAAAGTTCTAAAAATGTCATGATGGTATTTATAGATAGGTTTTCAAAGATTGCTCATTTTATTCCATGTAGTAAGAGGAATGATGCAACACACATTATTGATTTATACTTTTGAGAGGTAGTTAGGTTGCATGGAATACCAAAGACTATCACTTCGGATAGGGAAGTGAAATTCATTAGTTATTTTTGGAGGATTTTATAGAGAAAGATGAACACGAGCTTTAATTTAGTTTAGTAGATCATCCATAGACCATTGGATAAACCGAGGTCATGAATAGGAGTTTAAATAATCTCTTGCGAAGTTTTATAGTTAAGAAAATTAGATAATGGGACTTGGTTCTTTCTTAAGCTAGATTTGCATATAACTAATCACCTAGTTAAACTACAAACAAGTATAAGAGATTAAGGTTATGTACAAAAGAAATCATATCACTCTAGTTGAGCTTGCCTTCAAGCCAACTCTAACCGAATCCAATGCTAGTGTTGATAAGAGGGTTAAGAAGATTAAAAAGCTACATGAACAAGTTAGAAGAATCACTACGTAGAATAGGAAGCATTAAAAGCCGGCTAACAAGTACGGAAGACCGACGACATTCAAGGAAGTAGACTTAGTATGGATTCACTTGAAGAAGAAAATGTTTCTTAAGGATGTGTTTGCTAAACTTAAACCAAAAGCAGATGGTCTTTTTCGAATGGTCGAGCAAGTTGGAGAGAATATATACAAGATGGAGCTTCTTACGTACTAAAATGTTTCAACTATATTTAAAATTTTTTATGTTTCATCATACCGTGAGGAAGAAGTAAAGACATCAAAGATGAGTCTTCTTTAACCCAGAAGTTTGGCATAGGAGTGTTGCACATGCCCTTTAGCCCGAGAGTTCCAAGCTAGATTGGGTATGACATTGAGGTCAAATGGTTAAAGCTATTTAGGCTAAAAATTATAGCATTATTTATTTTATTTATGCTATGTTTTTAGTTATTTTACTTATTTTATTTACATAAGGATTCTTATTTCTATATAGAGTTTATTTTGGTCCATATATTTTTTAGATCCATATTTGTTTTGGACTAGATTGATTAGTGCTTATTGAATTTGGATTGTACTAGTCTAATGTGGCCGAATGGTCTAGGTTTGATGTTGTGTTTGTTTGTTTAAGGGAATTTGTTGCACCTATTGTGTGTTTTAATGGCCGATTGTTACCTTAAGTACTTAAGTATCTTTATGTAATGTAGAAAAATAAGACTTCAATGAAGTTTGAATAAATTTTAAGGTAAATATACTTTTATGTCCTTATAAATTATCGAAAGTCTCCCATATGTCCATAAAAATTTTTGAAATATTCAATCTATCTTTTTAATCAAATTTTTCAACCATAGTTTTTTTTTTTTTTTTTTTACCCAAATGCATTTTACTAAAAGAAAAATAAAAAAAAATCTTAAACTCACATGACCTCGCAAGTTCCATATTTTAAGTCTTTAGAAATTGTTTTTTTTTTTTTTTTATGTTTCAATTAGGAGCATTTGGGTCAATTTTTTTTAATATGGTCGAAAAAATTAATCGAAAGGATAGATTGAATATTTCAAACATTTTCATAAATAAATGAAATGTAATTAAAAAGTAGAGACATATAAGAGAATTTGAGGATTATATAAGGACAAATGGATTACATTTACCCTAAATTATATGAGAACTTTTTCTACTTATGTTGGGTAACTTTGTGATTGGCTTAGAGACATATTTATGTATCTTTGACTTGACTAACAAGGTAGTGCTATCAATCACTATTTGCTGAGGTTGTAATGGGGTTTCAAATCTCACCAAAATTAACTATAGCTTGGTTACTTTGTGCTTGGTAAGTTTCGGTCAATCCATACTTTAGAGTTAGTCGGTTTCTATTACTTTGGATTTATGGTTCGAGTTGATTGTTAATTATTGCTTTGGATCATGGTTGAATTTGTAATTGTTTATTTTAGATCTTCTCATTATCCTTGTCGGTGAACATTATGTCTAGAGAAAGAGTCTTGTTTGTAAGTAACTTTTTTCATTCACGAATGCAAGTTTTCTTGTCAACCTTATATGATATTAAAGTTTGCAATCTTATTTTCATTATTTGCATGTTGCTTGATTTCATAATAGTAGCATAACCATAAACTTTGATTGTAATAAGATTTGGAAAGTATAAATTATTAACTTGGAGTGATTACCATTATGAATAGTTAATCTTGCAACTTGCATCTCTGTTTTTCTAGATAGATTTCAAACTTTAGTTGGGCTTAACAAATTGAATTTTAGCTCATTTAATTTAATTAGTTTCGTATAAGAAAAAACACCAATAAATATCATCATAGTAAATATTAGAGCATATAAAACAGTTAACTCAATTCATAAGATTTCGAGTCTAGAAGTTGGGCTGTCTTAGATGTCACTGTCCAAACTCTTTCTTTTGACTGTTTTGCTATAAAATTCTCAAGAGTGGAAGCAGACACAAAAAAGCCCACATGTGAAGGCAAAACCACTCGTTGTCCATTGCCTTTAATTGCCGGCTATAGAGTTTAGGTTACTGTTGAAGTTGTTTTTTCTTCACGTTTCCTTTCGCACCAGGTCCTTTTGTAGCTGACATAAGGGCAGAATCCCACAAATTCTATTTCAATTTGCAGATAAATAAATGCTTCCTAGCAAAGAACTGTTAATGCTTTTAGCGTCCAAATCAGCAACTAATCTTTCAATGAAAAAAAAAAAAGAGGAAAAATAATGTACAATTCGTGGGCTGTTGTTTCAATCTCTGTCTTAAGATCTTGTTTTGGTGGTGAGGGGTTTTTGGGTAGGGTCAGAAAATAGAACTTTCCATTGCTTTTGCATTTATCATAAGAAACAACACATGAATGGAAAAAGATAAAGGAGCAAGACCTAAGCTCCTTTTTCAACTTTATACCCATCTTTTGAAGTCTGTGATACCATATTTAGATAATTAAAATTAAATTTTATTCAAAAGATTAAAAACCGATTATTTTTTAACTTTATATGTTATTCATTATTTTTCAACTTTATATGTTACTCATCCATTGTTTATTTATTTAATGCAGAGTAGAATAAATTCTCTAACATGGATCAAGAAAGCTCAAACTGTTAGTGTGATACTGAAGAACTTAGAATGGATGAACAATTGCATGTCAACTAAAAACAAGTTTATTATTATACGACTAAACAGTCTAGTCTTATGCTAAACAAATATTTGAGCAAAATTTAGAACAAATAACTCTCACCTTTAATCATGCTACTATTAACTAAGGGAGCTAAAAGCAACAAAGAAAACGAACACAATGTACAGAAGAACAAATGAACTGGGATGCCTGTGCAAAGAATATTTGACCATGCTTACATGTGGAAAAGGGCAATCCTAAAATATAGGAACAATCAATCAATAATTCAATAACGAGTACTTGACACGCAAAACAATTTTTCCTTTATCCACCCCAAGCTTAGCTCCCGTTACCAACCAATGACCTGGAACATCTTGTGGTCCCTTTGACATTTCGCTCATGTCGACAATTTTTGCTAATTTGCCAACGTGGCTATCTTCTTTCTTATCATTGGGGGGTTTCTCATTTGGAACAGATGAAGATGCACCATTGGTTCTCTGTGCAGAAGGGTTTGAGGGGCTATGATCCCATACAGACCGCCTTATTGTACAACCTGGAACTTTCGAGAAGAGGAGTTTAAGGTGCAGCACATTTTTGGCACCAAAATCCCAAACACCAAGCTGAGCCCCAGTCACAATGTGAACACCAGAGAGGTCTCCAATGGAAGTGTCCGCATACTCTATTGGTGCAGTGCTTACATGGGAGAAGTTCTTCCACTTGATAGGCTCAAACCACCGGCTGTCTTGCTCCTCAGGACCTTGCCACTTGGGGGCACCTATGGCCACATGAGCATCCCAATGGGGCTGAAGGACTTTTGGAAGGGACACAAGATGCTGCAAATGGATGGAAAGTCTGTTTTGCTTGCTGCCCTCCAGGCCAAGTCTTAGACCAGTAATTGGCTTACGGCCTACTGTTACCTGCAACATCAAAAATGTGTTGACTTTAGTAGAAAAGAAAACATGTATGCTCATGCTGGCAGGGTCTGGCATAAAGAGTCTGTACTAACCAAAAAGGAGAAATTTTCTAATAAATTAAGAAAAACAATCTGGAATCTTTTGTATTTTGGAGAGATCATTTTCAAATTACCCACAAGTTACACTTGTTTCGCTTTATCCAATACTAATACTTCAGAAAGACGCTAGTCCACCAATGGACTTGCTTGTCAGGTGCTAGTGAAAATAGAAATACTCTCAATGTTAAACTTTCTCTTCAAGGCTTTTCATGAAAAGTACAGTTATTTAAGCTGCACTAAAGTTCTTAAAACCTCTATCCAACATCCATCACCACAAACGAATTAGGGGAAATTGTGATTTTTATGGTTCCGCTATCTTATGGATGACAATATACAATTGTTTGCTTCTGGGATATTTCCTTCTTTTTCAAGGTATGAATAATCATCACATAATTAATAATTTAATTATTTTTTAATTTAATTATTTTTAACATGGTGTTTTGAATGAATGACACATGAGATGAAAAAACATGACAATGAAGGAAAATATTAAAAACTATTTGTGAAGCTACCATCCTCGACTTTCTATATATCACCTACTATCATTTCAACATTAATTTCCATTACAATATGAAGAAGATACACTTTGAAAGCATACCTGATCTGGGCTTATATACAGCTTGGGACCCATCAAGCTGAACTGAAGGGATTGACAAACAGGCTCCTTTCTTTGAAGGTTATTTTGCTCTGGTGCCCAGCCTTTGCCAATTTGAAAATCCAAGAAATACTGCAAATCCTCTATAGGTGGCTTGTCTGATTAAGGGAAAACACAAGAAAGAATATTTCAATCAGGAATTCTAGATTTTTTAAAAACGTGGTTGCAACACAAGGACTTTCTAGAAGATCACCCATCCTAGTGCTAAATTGTCTAAGCCGTTTACACTTCCGAGTTATCATGGGATCCATGGCATTACTGCTAATGGGATCACACCTAGGAATATCTAGAATTTTAAATTATTCAAATCAGTAACATTTATGTCAGATAATAGTTCAGATTATTTTTTCAAGGAATATGTAAAATTCAACAAACCAATTTTCACTTAGATCATACCCAGAGTTTTTGCTAAGACTTTGCTGGTCAGAAGATCGAACTTTAAGAGAAAGGTAACAAGCTTTTACTAAATTAATTTTTGCACACAGGACTCACTTGTTGCAAAAAAAATAAACACCTTATCATATTGGCTATTGAAAAACTTCTTAATCAATAATTTTATACTGCTTTAGAAAAGAAAAGAAAAATAATTTATCACAACAACGGTTTCATTTAAGAATCCTAGATCAGATCAAATATATTTAAAATCAATTTCGAATTTCAAACCAACAATGGGAATGCAAATATGGGATTAAAACTTACACTCTAAGTATGAGTCAATTGCCCTGGCCAAATGCTTTATTCCAGGCACTCCTTCGAGGAGAGATACAATAGGTGTAAATGTCATGTTAATCACATCTGGTGCCAACTGCACTGTCTCTGCCCACTTGGCATGACTCTGTTCAAGATCATCACCTCCTCTCCTTCTAAAAATCACTGTTACATCCTACAGCAATGAATTTAACTTGTAAATATTTCTGTAAATTCAGAGAGTAGAAAAGCAATTTAGAAAAAGAAACAGTACATGTATGAGACAAGAATGTACAACATCATAGTTAGGGGTTGTGTCAAAAAAAGACTGGGTGAACAATGAAGGCCATTAATTGATGGCGTAGTTCAGTTGAGCAAATAAGTGAGCAACACCAGAACACTAACCTTGTCCTTATATTTCAAGGGGGCAGCAATTGATGTACTTGTTGAGTCTTGAAACCTTTGATCTGCAATGTCTTTCACATAGTCCTCGATATCGGATGCTGACAAAGGAGATGCCTGGTGCTGCCTGATGTAAACAACATCTCGTCCTCCAATTGTTGCAGATGTGACTATATGGGTACCATAGCTTTCAATGAAGCTGGAAAAGTAGGAAAAACCCACAGATATTGATCAAAAAGCTGATGCTGCCGAACTCTTAATATTATCAAGGGATTCTACAGGATGAACTTTCGGTAGTTATGATGCTCTTTAATAGCATTACAGGTAAGTAAAAGATGACAGGTTTCAAAACCAGCAAACTCATGTATTATATTATAAATTTTTGTTAAACAGTTCTTTTCTATAAACAATGAGTGCCAAAACAAAATACCTTGCCAAGGATGCAGGATCCCAGGAGTAAGGAACAGCACGCTTGACTTCATCACGCAAAACTAGGTTTACTTTGGCTATCTGCACCTTATACAAGGGAATGAAATGCCCAACCATTGCAAGGGATTTTGTTCCAGCTGCATCAACTTGCCAAGAGCCAGTGAAATTGAACATGCCATTAAAGCTTCCAAGAGGAATTCGTCCTGATATACCTGATTTTTCATTGAATCGTCCTGCCATCTGAAAATTCAAGTAATAAGCTTATTTTGAACACCGCATTTCACCACATCAGTAATTCAACATTAGATAGAAACTCTGCTGCGACTAAAAAAAAAAAAAAAAGCCATAATATTGATGAAAACAAATATGAGAATCTGACAACAGAACCATACCAAAAAAAGCCCATGCTATTTGATCTTGTTCATAAACCATGAAATTTTCGTTATAGTCAACTTAAGGGAGCAATCATTGAGGTCCAACATCAATTGGAAAATATATATACAAAGTAAAGAATTGGAAAACTACTGATCAATAGAGAATTCACTGCATAATATCACCATTTTTTGGCAGAATTATTCACCAACAGATGATAAAGGACCAGAAAGCTTGGGAAACCCAGATAAAATCTAAATCCAGACTGGAAGTCAATGATGGCAATGCTAGGGAGAATGAAAATATAAGCTCTATGACACACTAGAAAAAAATGCTAAAGTTCCAATCTATTCTTCTTCACCAATATTTCCATATGCGGTTATCTACCTTCCAAATCCTAAATCAAAGAGTTCAACATTTCTTGGACTGTTAAAGTCTAATATAATACAAATGAACCCATAAAGTGCTTCAGACCATTTAATTCCTTTCTCTTCTGGCAGGAAATCCAATTCGCTAACAAGGCATGGAGGATGAACCATGGAATGAAACGTTTAGAATCCTGTCCCAGTGGGCTTAGGCCTAATATTTTTGCCAATTGTACGGGAGTTACCACTCCAACTACATGTATAGCTTAGTTGTTTTGTTCTTGGGCCGCTTGGTCCCTTCCCTCACCAGACACACAAACAAACAAAAAAACAAAAAATCAAAACAAAACAAAACGTATGCAGATAATGCCCTGTGTTGAGCTCAAGCTTTAATTTTATGAATGTAGCAAAACATTCAAGACAACTGCTACCAAATATGCATACATGACTTAGGAATGGTAATGAACACGATAGGATTTCTTCTCGAAATCGCAACAATCCTAATAGAAGACGTTACAGAAATTACAGAAACAGAGAAACGTAAAGGTCTCCATAATGTGAATGCACCTTGGTTCAATAGCGACCAAGTTTATGAACATAAAAGTTAAGCCACAATCTCCAACTATTTAGCAGTTATATCAGCAATCCCTTTTTTTTTTCCCCATCACATCAATGTGTAATATTCATTATTTTCCAAATAAAATCGACTGCATGCACACAACCAGAAGTTGAAGAAATAAGCATTACTGAGAAATGACCTAAAACATTAAGCTGATTGTCTCCCGTAGACAAAACACAACTATGTTATTCTTTAGGCATCACAAAATTGCTAATCTAATTTAAGAACCCCTGCTATGATAAAATTACAAATGAAAACTTTTTCTCAAACTGATTTCTTAAATATGCATATTCAGTAACACCATCCGAATTTACATCATCAATGCAGTAATGGGCTAAAGAAAAACAGTCCATTCTAACCATCAGTTTTCCAGATTAGCTGGATAAATTGCAGCCTGCCAGCAAAATTAGTTACTGAGTTCAAGAACATTTAGCACAACGAAAAATCTGTAATCTTTTAACATTCGACTTCAAGAACACCAAACATAGAATCAAATAACTTAGCGATGAAAATACCAACAAGCACAAGGTGACATTCACAGAGCATAAGTTTTGGGACTGGCAAAATCACAAAAAGCTCAAGCTAACATAAAATAAAAAAAATAAAAATAAAAATTCAAACATGCCCAGATAATAATTTAAAAGAAAACAAAAATCACCTCATGGAAGGAGCAAACAGGAATTTTCTCAATAATTCTTTTCTCTTTAGAACAATCAATATCAAAAGAAACATTAGGCAGTGGAACCCCAAGAGAGATATCAAGATCCCTCGTATGTTCTTCATCAATATGAACCAACCTAGACCCAGTAGCTCCTTTACAATACAAAAGCCTTATATCAGATGTAACATCAAAGCCACGACCCAAAGCTTGAATTGAGTTGCAGAGAGTAGTAGTCAAAGCATCCGAACTCAAGCTCATCTTTCTCAACTAATAAAATTCTGTTTCTCCTCACATAAAAGATAAATCTTTGTTGTTCTTCGATTATTAATTTATTAGTGTTGCATTTGTTGAATTTTGATTTGTTTTTGTGGAGTAGTGTGGTGGGGTAGTTTGGACATGGAAGTTTGGTGACTTTTATTGTTTGGTTTTTGAGTTTGACTGTAATAATGGCTAAAAACGCGTTTTTGTATTCGTGTGTGTAAGAGAGAGAGGATGTTGTGAGTTGACCGGTCTTCTTTTAGATCATCCTCTCGCTTTTAGTTCATCTCTACAAAATTCTCATTAAGACAACTACTTTGACTTGCATGTAGTTTCTTTTTTCTTTTTCTTCTTTTTTTTTTTTTTTTTTAGCCCCACAAAAATATAATAGTATATTTACTTTAATCTAGAGATGGCAATCCAACCCGTCTCGAAGCCATCTTGCTCCACCCTATCCTGTTTTGAGCAGGAATGAGGTATGAAATTTTGTCCCGAACAAGACACGGGACGAGGATGGTTTTTTTTTTTTTTGGTGAGGCGAGGATGGGGATGGAGATCCTCGCCCCGCTTTGCCTTTGTATCTTTAAAAAAGATAATCTAGCGAGGCTCTGTCTTGTTTGGGGCGGGGATGGGGAGCGAAATTTCGCTCCAAACAGGACACGGGCGGAAATGAGTGTTTTTTTCAAGGGACAAGACGGGGATGGAAATGACGATCCCCACCTCGCCCCATTTCCATCCTAACTTCCTATATGAAGGCTTGTCATTGATAAAAAACGAAAAGTAGTTAACTATTTAAAATGTTCTATTTTTTTTGTTTTTTTAGTAAATTTTATTGATATTTATGGGCAATGATTGTGCTTGATAGGAGGAGAAAGATGTTAGAGTAATTTTTATTTCGATCTTTATGAGAAGGAAAAAAAATGATGGTGTTAAGAAGTAATGAAAAAGATTTCTTAATTTCATTTCTATCAAATGAATCCTAATTATAATTTTCACTAGTATTAACTTTTCTTAAAATGTGAGCAACATTACTCCTTTGTACTAACATTATTTTTAATAATTTGGATTCAATTTTTCTTAATTTTGCCTTAATTTTTGAAGTTTTTCTTTCTTTCTTTCTTCTTTTCTTCACCGAGATGCAAAGAAGCAAGGAACAAAAGCGCTTACTTTTTGCCTTGTGGGATAACCTAACCAAAGATCAAGTTTGGTAATTATCAAAGAAAAAAATACAAAAAGATCATGTTTGGTAGGAGTACGATCTAAAAAGTAAAAATAAAAAATAAAACTAATCGATATTCTTTTTTTTTTTTTAGCCACGGATAAGTGTTATTCATTTTTATATAATATGAGATGAAATAATGATTTTTAGTTAATTTACTAACTTTGGGCTAACTTTAATAACTTTTAATCTATCTATATCTATATTTATTGATAAATGAAAACGGATGAAATGAGTTTCAAATATCATTATTAGTTTCGAATTCAATATTTTGGATTATATAAAAAAATTAAATTGTTTTATTTTTATTATGTACTAATTATAACAATTCATTTTAGATTTAATGATTTAAATTTAATGAACATAATGGTCATGTTCCTAAGAGAAAATAAAAAAATTCTAATCCATGAGCATAGATTTATTTTTGGCTAGTCAAATGTACTCATGTAGCATTTTCTTTCATATGGAGTGATATATATATATATATATATATATAATGGTATAATGACAATTTTTGCCTCATTTATATTGCGATATAATAATTTCGAGCCCTTAATATGAAATTGTATAATTTGAACCCTAAAGTATTAGATTTGAGACAAAATTGATCCAATTTTTCTAATTATCCTTAAATGTAATGGTCAACTATGTTGATCGTTACTATTGTCGTTTATTTATTTATTTTTTTCTTAACCATTTACATGAGGATTTTAAAACTAAGTTGGGTTAGATTAGGGGTATAAGGTAGACGACGACTCATTGATTGCCTTATAACCCGAATCAAACCCACACTTACCAAGCGATCGAGAGAGAAAGAGAGTAAGCCAAATTAAAATTTTTTCTATAATTGAGAGAGAGAGAGAGAGAGAGAATTGGTCAATATTACCTTGATTTTACACCTACACCCTAAAGGGATGATATTGCAATGAGAAGGGAGAGATAATATTAGGATTTGATGGGTTTTTTCAATCGGATTAAATTTGAGGTAGAAAGAATGAGTTAAGGCATTTTAATTTTTGAAAATTTCTTCAAATTGGGTTTATGGTTATGAGATTTCATGGCTTCTCATTCTTCTTCTTCTATTTTAAAATTATCAAATGCAAAATTGAATGTGTGATAAAGTAGTGGTTTCGTATAGTTTGTTATCTATTTATTGTCAAATTCACAAGTAAAATGTCAAATTCGACTTTGATATTGTGTATTGGAGGAGAGTTCGTTTGAAATCTTGATTTGAAGTACACTAATAGGGTTTGTGAGATTAAATTGGTTGACAATGATTATTTTTTCTTTCTAACCTTGAAACAACTTGTTAGAAGTTATGGGTGGGTTTATCCCGAAAAGATACATTGTAGGGTTTTGAGGAATGAGTATACATTAGAAACTCATTTGATTTGTCTATATAATGAAGCATCTTTGTTTCCATTTTTGGATGATTTCATTGAGTGAGAGAATATGGAGTTTTTTTTTGTTGAGGGTACAAAAAAGTTAGTTAGTGATGGAAATAAACTGATTGACCATGAGGATGGTGTTGAGAATATGGTTCAAGAACAAAATGTGAGGACAAATATGGATATTAACGATAGGAATAGTGAGGGTAGTAGTGGTATTGGGCTTGATAATGTTATAATTTCTTAGGAAAATAAGGGTATTTATGTAAATTATGAAGAAGGGTAATTTAATAATATACATGGTTACAATGGGGAACATGGATAGCCTAACACCTAACATAGTGTGAGACATGCTTTTAAAAGCATTGAGATAGGGCTTATGTCGGATTACATCATGAAGAAAAAAGGTGATAATGCAGAGGGAAACACTCATAGGTTGAAAAATGAAAAGGGAGATACTAGAGATTTTGGTTTAGAAGACAATGGAGATGGTAGAGATGAATATGATTGTGTATTAGAGCTAGATGATGGTGCAAAATTGATTGATGTGTCGTGGTTTATTGATAATAATGATGAAGAGTTAGTTACTATTATAAATAATTTTATAGAGTTAAAATAAACAAGAAGTAAAAAACACATTGTTAGTGTCTTAAATGCACCACCAGTTGATAATCCATAATCAAATGGACAAAAATCCAGGAGTAATTTTACTAAAGGAATGTATTTTAGTGTAGGTTTATATGAGTTTGATTCGAATGAAAAAAGGAAGTCATGAATCAAACAATGATGATGATGATGATAAGACAAATCAAGGCTATGAGGAAGAGTCCAAAATTATGTATTTTGATGACACTACCAAAGATCCACAATTTACACTTGGCACGGCTTTTAGAAACAAACAATAAATCACCTAGTCTTTAGAAGATCATTGTATGGCTAAGAAGAGGGAGATTAAATTTATCAAACGAGATAGATAAAGAGTAAGAGTAAAGTATAGTGATAAGAATTGTCAATGGGTTTTCTATGTAAGATATAAAAAGCATACATGTAACTTTAAACTTAGAACATATGTAAATGAAAATACATGTCGAGTTGCATTTAAGAATAAAAAAATTGAGTTGAGAGTCATTACAAAGTGCTTCATCAATAACTTTTGTAGTATTGCTTTGAAAATGGATAAAAAAAAAAGATGTGAAAACACAAGCAAGAGAGAAATTATGTTATAACATAAGTCTTGACCAAGCTAGAAGAGCAAAGGAAAGGATAGAGAGGCATTTTCATGGTGATGACGAGTGTTGAGTATGCAATATTACAAGATTATTTAGAAGAGCTAAATAGAAGTAACAAAGGAAGCACCATAGAAAGTTGTTTTACCAAGCCTAGTATTGGGAACAATCCAATGTTCAAAGTTGTGTATATGTGTTTTGATGCACTAAAAAAAGGATTTAAGGCAATATGTAGGCCTATTTATGGAATGGATGGATGTCTTTTGAAAGAAAAATATAAAGGTGAGATCTTAACTACTATGGGAAGAGATAAGAATAATCAAAATTTTCCTTTAGCTTGGGCTATTATTGATGATAAAAATCAATACACTAGGAAATGGTTTATTAAACACTTAATAAACGATCTTGATATAGAGTCCGAAAATGACAACAATTAGACACTAATGACTGATCAACAAAAGGTTAGATTTTGATACATGTTGAACAATTTAATTATAAATTAAATTAAATTATATACTTAATTGTATATTTTCATTTATACTTTATAATATGTAAATGATAAGAACTAAATTGAACTTGTAATGTGCTTTCTTGGTAGGATCATAAGAAGGCAATAAAGGAGTTAATGCCATATATTGAGCATAAAAATTATGCAAGGCATATATTTTCTAATTGAAGGAAAAATCATGAGGGTAAAGAGCTTCATGAAAAATTATGGACATGTGCAAGGGCTATAACTTAGCCTCATTTAGAGAAAGCACTTGAGAAGATAACGGAAAAGCAAAAGATGATCTAGTCAAAGTTGATATGACAACATAGTGCAAAGCTTTCTTTCAGTCACACAATAAGTGTGATATTATTGAAAATAACATGTGTAAAGTGTTTAATGGTAATTTGCTTAGGTTAGATATAAAGTAATCATTATAATGTTGGAGGAAATTATGACGATGGTAATGATAAGAATAGTGAAAAGGAGATAATTTGGTCGAGTTAGGTTCAAAAGAGATTATAGCCCAAAAATCCGATAACAAATTAAAGAGCAAAGAGAGTTGATTCATACAACCAAAATAATATGGAATGGTGATAATGGTTATGAAGTCAATCAGTTTGGGGATAAATATCTTGTTGATGTGCATTATAGAAAGTGTAATTATAGGTTGTGGAATA